TGATGAGATCTAAGGAACCCTAAAGAATTAATTTGATTAATTCTATATCAAACCAATAATGGATAAAAATAAGTTGGAACTTATTAATCCAGACCTTCCATCAAAAGTAGAAGACATGAGATGTTACGATGCTTTATCACCGACCATGAGTCGTGGGGTGGTTTAGTGTCGAAAGTTGTGATCCCTACTAAGTATAGTGATACTCGTGAGGTGGATTCCTCTTTATGTTGACCATGAGTCGTGGGACATTCTGGTGGGCCACTATCATGAATGTTTGATGGGTTTGATTTGACAGTTAGTAATATATACGATCATAAAATTGAGGTATATAAGGAAAAGTGAGGCAAAACAACTTGAAGGTTGTATAATGATACAATTGTCACAAGTTGACTACTGATATAAATGTTTCATGCGTACTCATAAAATTGGGATATGGAATATTTTTATTGGACTTCAAGCCCACTATGAAAATTAGATTTTCATAATTAAAATAGGGATTTTAATTAAAAGAGTGAGAGACATTTAATGTTAAAGACCTAATATTAAATGAATATAAATTCTATAGTCTGATTATTTTCTGCTTCGTTTGTTTTTGTAGATCACTCTACTAAAATGGCTAAGAATCCAGTTGCAAGTATTCTTGAACAAAACAAATTAACTGGACCCAATTTTAATGATTGGTTGAGGAACCTGAAAATTGTTCTACAGTCTGAAAAAAGGGACTATGTATTGGACAAAGCCCCTCCTCCTCCACCCGAGGATCAGACATCTGATGAGTATGGAGAATACTTACGTCATACTGATGACAACCTCCAAGCTCGGTGCTACATGTTAGCATCAATGTTAAATGAGTTACAGAGACAGAACGAATTGTTGAATAATGCTTCTGAAATCCTCCTTCATCTACAAGAGTTGTATGGTGATAGGACGCAACAAATTAGATATCAGATATCTAAAGAGCTTTTCAGGTGTCGTATGACTGAGGGCTCTTCAGTTCATGATCATGGGCTGAAGATGATAGCTCTTGTTGAAAGCCTTTCGTTCCTTGGAGTCATTATGGATAATGAACTCTATGTGGATCTCATGCTGCAATCTCTGCCATCGTCATTTGATAGCTTTGTTGTTAACTTTAACATGCATAATATGGAGACTTCTCTGCCAGAACTAGTGAACATGTTAAAGACGGCTGAATCCACAATCAAAAAGGATAAGCCGGTGCTTCTTGTTGGATCCACTTCTGGATCAAAGGCTTTAAAGTCTAAGAAAAGGAAGGGGAAGGGAAAGGTTCCCAATAAACCCAACAAGAAGGCAAATAACAACAAAGGAAAGAACAAAGAGAAGGTTAATTCTCAGTCTAATTGTTGACATAAAAACCTCATCTAACATCGGATGATCGACACGTGGGTTATGGGAAAGATTAGGGATCGCGCCGAGGAGAGAGAAGATGAAGCTTCCCGAGCTGTGGGAACCGACTTCGGGAGACCGACTACTATAGGATGTCGATCTCCCCGTAAAGGCAACTCAAATGCCGCCTGACGTCGGTACTGACCAGCCGCATTAAATGCCTGTCTATCAGATGTCAAAAAACCACGTGAGAGCATCATTGCTGAGGGGTCCCACCTGCCAAAAAGCCTGCGCCCTGTCATACCGTATTAAATGCCGCCGTATCACCTCAAAAGACGAGCCCGCGGTTACTATAAATAACAACATTAAACGCGATACGAGGATCCTTTTTTTGGGGGGACACATTAAATTCTGTATTAATTACCTCGGTTCACCGCCCATTACAACGTTATCGTACCGCTGAAATCCCGACTTCAAGTCCGAACTACCGACTTGAACCTGTTATAAAATATTCCACGTTTAATGAATAAAATAGCTTCATTTCCGCATTAATTCCCAAGTTTAACACTAAAAAAGGTTGATCAAATCCGTTTATCAACAATTTGGCGCTAGAAGGAGGGCCTCATAAGATATCTTGAGGTCAACCTTTGAATCCAACATACATATTTGAAACCGCTAACACGAAAACTTACAACGATGGCGCAATCGGGACAAGATGACCAGACAACAAGCAGAGGGGACAACCACGGTCCAATCCCTTCAACCAGTAGAGCCAACACAACAATGATACCAGACCTTGCAACACTCATGCAGAACCCTGAGTTCGCAAAAGGCTTCTCGACGCTACTCGCCCAAACGATGCCAGGAACCTCGAGAACCGTACCGGGTCAATCACTTGCGCCCATAACCCCGGCCATACCGACGGCACCACCATTGCAGCAAGGCGTAAACAACCAAACGCGCTCACACGCGACGTCCCAACCAAGGGACTACGCCCAGACGGTGAACCCCAAAGAGCAGAATCTACAGGAGATGACGGCAGAGAGCGAGTCCGGGCATGTTCAGAGAGAAACAGCCGTCGCTAGACCTTTGTTCAGGCCAGCGGGAAATCTGGTCGACCTCCGACACCAAATAGTGAGGGGCCGAACGGCTAGACACGACAATCCCGAAATGGAAGCCCTGAGGAGGAGAGTCGCCGAACTCGAAACTTTGTAAAACCGAAGGGCGAGGTCGCCTACCAACCAGTGCAGTCAAGAGACAGGCCACGTGTACGTGGAAACGGACTCCCCTCTATCCCCCGAGCTGGCTTTAGAGCCACTACCCGGGAAAATAAAAGTCCTGCAAATCGGCCTTTATGACGGAACGTCGGACCCCGACGCTCATCTCGGGAATTACACCTCATGGATGGACTTGCATAGGGCCACCGACGCCCTCAGTTGTCGCATGTTCTCCCTAACTTTGGGACCAAGAGCACAGAAATGGTATTATTCCCTGCCCGCGCAATCCAACCGACGTTGGGTCCAGCTCAGGTCGGCCTTCCGCTCCCATTTCATCGGGGCACAAGTTTGCCTCATCCCAAAAGAGTCGATCACTAACATTGTCCAAAAAGACGACGAGAGCTTGAAGGAGTATGTGGCCCGCTTTAACGAACGTGTACAGAATATG